TACACCATATGAAGGTCCATCTCCATTCCTCAATATAACAAGGTCATGGTCATGGTAGAGTTGGCTTCGGGTGTATTGTCCTCTTCTATTTTTGATTCATATTTTAACAACTTCCATTCCCGAGCTCCATGTAACTTCTAACCATTCTTTTAAAAATGTATTCCCACCACAGATGGAAGCTATGCCCAAAATGCGTCGGATGCGGAAGATGATGCACAATGTTCCCCAGGTGTGAATTCCACGTCTCGAGGTACACATGCATCCAGCTCCAAGAAATCTTCAAGCCGTGACGCAGGTAAGAGTTCATTGTCATATTATGGACATGTGAAGTCTTTTAGGATAACATCTGAAATCTCACATCATTGTGACCTTTTTTTTTTATTTTCAGAGAGTGGAAAATCTTATATTGAGAAAAAACCCAAGCCGAGAAATCGCTTGGGTGAGCGTCCTTTCTCATGTTCCGAGTGTGGGAAATGCTTCATTCACAAGGGAGATCTTTATAGACATCAGCGAATTCACACGGGGGAGCGTCCCTTTTCATGTTCCCAGTGCGAGAAAACTTTCACTGAGCGCAGCGGACTTATCATACACCAGAGAAGTCACACTGGTGAGCGTCCGTTTCCGTGTTTACAGTGTGGGAAATGTTTCACTCAAAAATCACATCTTCGAACCCACCAAAGAGTTCACACAGGGGAGCGTCCTTTTTCCTGCTCGGACTGCGGGAAATGTTTTAGTGGCAAAGAAAAGCTTTTAAATCATCAGAGAAGTCACACGGGTGAGCACCCTTTTAAATGTTCAGAGTGCGGGAAAGCGTTCACAATGAAAGGAAGCCTTCTTAGACACCAGAGAAAGCATAGCGGCGAGAATCTTTTTTCATGTACAGAGTGCGGGAAAAAGTTTACTGAGAAGACCGCACTTATTATACACCAGAGAATTCACACAGGCGATTATCCTTACGCATGCCCAGTGTGCGGGAAACGGTTTAATAAGAAAGTATACCTTCGTACACATGAGAGAAGCCACACGGGTGAGCGTCCTTATTCATGTTCAGAGTGCGGAAAAGGTTTCACTCAAAAAGGAAACCTTGTCAACCACCAAAGAATCCACACAGGAGAACGCCCTTTTTCGTGTAAAGAGTGCGGGAAGGCTTTCATATTTAAAAGACACCTTCTGTTGCACCAGATAACTCACACTGGTAAACATCCTTTTTCCTGCAAAGAGTGTGGGAAAAGCTTTACAGAAAAAGGAAAACTTCTTATACACCAAAGAATGCACACAGGCGAACGTCCTTATTCTTGTCCAGATTGTGGGAAAGGTTTCACCCAGAAAACAGTCCTTAATACACATCAGAGAATTCACACTCGCGAGCATCCTTATTCATGTTCAAAGTGCGGGAAATGTTTTACACAAAAAGGAAATCTAAGTAGACATCTGAGAACACACACCAGTTGATGCTGCTGACTCATGTACGAGGGCTGATTTTTTTCCCCCAGTCCATAGAAAAACTGTATGACAAAAATGAGTATTTGATGGGGTAGATTCCCGCAAAAGTGACATCCAATAGCCCTCTCCAGAAGGATGGAGGACTGCTCTCTTTCGCATTCTGCATGGAATACAATACATTAAAAAGATGTAGTGGGAGCCCCTTGTAATGTCCATGGCAGGGGTGCAATCCCAGGGACTGAACAGCCAGGATGTGAAGATATAAGGTGATTCAACTCTCTGGCATCTTCCAAACGCTTTAGATCACGTTTGGATGGACTGACCATAGGACATAGCAAATTTTGGACTTGGAGATGCCTCCTAATGTTCATAACAGGTGTTTAGGCCTAGAACCTGAAGCCCAGAGATCTCACCATATTCAAGATCTAAGAAATTATAGCTCCATCAGTACCAACCAAACCACATTTTTGGATGGACTGGCCTTCTGACGTGTTCATTTGTGACCTTAAGAATGTGGAAACTTCTTGTAATGACCAAGGTCGGTGTGAAGACCTCAAGGTCAGCCATCGAGCCACCTTCGAGAGATAAGAAACCGATAGGTAGTTTAACTCTCCAGCATCTACCAATCACTGAATATCATGTTTGGAGGGACTGACAATCGGAGGTTGAAAATTTTGGCCTTGGAGATGCCTTGTAATGTCCATGACAGGTGTGTAGACCTAGGACCTGAAGCCAGGAGACCTCACCATCTTGATAGAAGACATTTTTAGTTGCCTCAGTACCTATCAAACACCAAAACAATTACTTTTGGATGGACTGGTCTTCTGACATCTTAAATTTTGAACTTAGAATTTGGAAACGTCACGTATGTGTGAAGGTCCGAGACCTCAAGGCCTGACATCTCACCACCTTTTGAGATATTGGACATTGTTAGGTAGTTTAAACTCTCCAGCATCTAACAGTCAAGGTATCAGAAATTATTAGTTGCGTCAGTACCCATCAAAGACCAAAACATGACTTTTGGATGGACTGGCCACCTGACATTGTAAATTTTGAACTTAAGCTTCTCGTAATGACTAAGATAGGTTTGAAAACTCGGGATCTCCAGCCCTGAGATCTCATCATCTTCAAGATGGAAGAAGTTCATAGATGGCTTAACAATTCAGCATCTCAACACTGAAAATCATTTTTGGATGGACTGACCTTCAAACTTCAAAAAGTTTGAACTTCAGAATGTGGAAATGCTTTGCAATGGCCAAGGTAGGTGTGAAGACCCAGGACCTCAAGGCCAGACACCTCACCACCTTTGAGATACCTGTATAAGAAATGAGGTCGTTTAACTCTCTATCGATTTTGGGTGGACTGACCTAACGATGGAAACTTTTTTGGCTTTTTTCTTGAATCTCTGTTTCTGCAGACGATGACACTCGTATTTTGAGACGTTAGAATGTCTACTCCTACGTGAATGGACCCTTTCTCTCGTGATGCAGTGGGCAGTCTTACCGTAGTGTTTTGTTTCCAGCCGTCTTGGCAAACCTCATCTAACGCATGAGGGACAAGTTGATGTTCCCTACGATTTCTGATTAAATGTTTTTCACAGTTCTAAGGAGTACAGGATGTGCCAACGTTATTCTTGTTCATTACTGTGAAATGTTTCTGTGTTTAGCCTTCCGGAATGTTCACCTTCAGCACCCAATCCAAATTTTCTTTACCAATTTTTTTTCTGGTTTGGTTGCTGCTCGTCGATGTTCTGCTTTACTTGCCATTGATCCAATGGATATTTTTTTAAGATCTATTTTGCATAACTTGATTTTTACTTTTCAATATACAATGTTTGATTTAGATTTAGGCTTATTGAGTGATCATTAGTTCTTGTTTTCTAAGTAAACGTAAAAAAAGCTCTAAAATTGACAAAATTCGGGTCTTGAGTCCTTTATTTTTTTATGTCACAAGTCACTATATTTCTTAGATGATTGGTGATGGGAATTCATAGATCATAGAGATTCATCCATTGGTGATGGGAATGAGCTCGGTTCATAGAGAGTCATCCATTGGTGATGGGAATGAGCTTGGTTCATAGAGAGTCATCCATTGGTGATGGGAATGAGCTCAGTTCATAGAGAGTCCTCCATTGGTGATGGGAATGAGCTCGGCTCATAGAGGGTCATCCGTTGGTGATGGGAATGAGCTCAGTTCATAGAGAGACCTCCATTGGTGATGGGAATGAGCTCGGGTCATAGAGGGTCATCCGTTGGTGATGGGAATGAGCTCAGTTCATAGAGAGACCTCCATTGGTGATGGGAATGAGCTCGGGTCATAGAGTCATCCATTGGTGATGGGAATGAGCTCGGTTCATAGAGAGTCCTCCATTGGTGATGGGAATGAGCTCAGTTCATAGAGAGTCATCCATTGGTGATAGGAATGAGCTCGGCTCATAGAGAGTCATCCATTGGTGATGGGAATGAGCTCGGTTCATAGAGAGTCCTCCATTGGTGATGGGAATGAGCTCAGTTCATAGAGAGTC